TATGTGTATTTATCTAGTGAGGTGTCCCTAACCTCATTTATTTGCTTAACCTTTGATTATTTTTGTCTATAATAATTATTAAGGTGTTCATATTTTATATTGTTTCATTATTTTATAATGATTGTCATTTTTATTTATGTTATTGGTACTATTAATATATTCTTTTTACGTAAATATATTTGTTGTAAATATATTTATAATCAACTATGATATAGTTTTGTTAAAGTCTCTTTGACTCATATTATTATTATTTCTTCACGTATTTATGAAGATAAATATTGTTCTATGGCCATAGAAGATAAAGTTTGAATTATTTGTAGCTGGAGGTTTGACCTTGGGGATTTAAATGAGTAAGAAATGAAGGTGAAATATCCTATTGTTGGTTAAGGTGAAATATCCTTTTATTGGTTGATATTATGATGATGCTCATTTATCCTGACTAGTCACTACAAGTATAATTCAAATTTTATTGTATCATGAAAATCTAATATATGATTTGTATATATATATATATATATATATATATATATGTTTAATATTGGTTTTAAATAATTCTGTTTATTCTTTTGAATTATTGTATTTATTGGATATTGTTCTTACTCCTCTCTTTTCTTTGTTTTTAAAATTAAATATATTATAAAATAGATGGCTCTACTTGGGATTCCAGATCATTTTGCAGTTGTTATAGACGTTGTCTTCCTTGGAAGGAAATGAGAATGTGGAGGCTATTTGATGAATCTATTATAATTTTATTTGTTATTGTAAATTTATTTCTATTATCAATGTAAAGTTTGTAATAGAAGTGAAAGAAAGAAATATTGTGTAAAATAATACATTATTATAAATAATTTAGAACGATATGTTATGTATTAAATTCACAAAATATTATTTTTCTTTATCTTTATCTTTATATATATATATATATATAAATATTATTAACGATATATTTGCGAAAATATTATATAAGAAATATATAATTATTATTATATAAATTGGGCGTTAGAATTGGGTGTTTCAGAATCATTTTAATAGTGACTAGTCAGGATAAATGAGCATTATTGTAATATCAATCAAATATCAAACAGAATATTTTACCATAAATGCTTACTCATTTAAATCTCCAATGTCAAACCTCCAACTATAAATAATTCAAACTTTATATTCTATGCCCATAGAACAATATTTATCTTCATAAATACATGAAGAAATAGCATCAAAACAAGTCCAAGATATCACAACTATATTATAGATGATTATAAAATATAATAAATATATTTACGTAAAGAGAATATATTAAGAGTACCAATGATATAAATACAAAATGAAAATCATTATAAAATAATTAAACAATATAAAATATGAACACTTTAATAATTATTATGGAAAAAAATAATCATAGGTTAAGCAATTAAATGAGGTTAGGGACACCCCACTAAATAAATATGCATAAAAAATAACATAAATAAATATACATAATAGTATATAAAATTTTAAAGAGATAAGGTTCTCCTTCCCCTTACCTTGGAATGTAGACTTATCAAGAAGTAGTTGAGTAAAAAATTTTCTTACTTTGCTCTCTTTCTCTCTTCTCTTCTTTCTCTCTTCTCTTACTTCTCTCTTTTTTTTCTACTTTCGTCAGTTTGTGTCTCCAAATTTACCACAATTGAGACCTATTTATAGCATTCAAGGTAATGATTACATAGTTGCTATGTAATGGTAAATTAATATCAATTCGTTTAGTTTCACTTCCATTTGTACCTTTAGTTATCTAGAGATAACATTGAAATCAAGTTGAAATCAACAGATAAGATTCTGAGCTGGGTTTTTTATCCGTGCATTGATTGCAGCAGATTTTTTTTTTAAATTGTAAATATTAACCCTAATTTTATACGTTTATATATTTACGGATAATATATATATATATATATATATATATATATATTCCTAGATTGAGTACACAAATAAATAATAAAAGAAAATTTCCAAACTTACATAATCGACTTATAATAACCTTAAAATATTTGCAATAGTATAAGTAATTATAAACTACTCATATATTACATTATTATTTTCAATATTTGCATTACATATTATTCTACTATTATTGAGAGTACATGCCTTACATATTATTTTTTTTACTACTACAACGATAGTTTTTACATTGGTGGTGGAAATAAGTTTACAATAGGATTTGCATGATTTGCTGGTGGTAAAAAGAAAGTCACTATAATAGGTGCATCTATATTAATGGGATTGTCTTGATTGGGAAAGAAAACGAACGAAGACAGCCCTATGCCTTGGAAAGTGACTGAGTTGGAGATAGCGTCTACACTCCAATTACCCCCGGGGAAAACGGCAGTGATAACTACTGTAAAAAGACCTGGTATGACCGGTAGATCCATCTATTTTATGATATATTAAATTTTTCACAAAATGAAATATGGAGTGAGAACACTTATTAAATAAATATACTTAATTAAATAAAGCACAAGACTATCTATAATAAACATAAAAATTAAATAATAAAATTTGAATCATTTTAATAGTAACTAATCAGGATAAATGAGCATTATTGTAATATCAATCAAATATCAAACAGAATATTTTACCATAAATGCTTACTCATTTAAATCCTCAAGGTCAAACCTCCAGCTATAAATAATTCAAATTTTATCTTCTATGACCATAGAACAATATTTATCTTCATAAATACATGAAGAAATAGCAACAAAACAAGTCCAAGATATCGCAACTATATTATAGATTATAAAATATAATAAATATATTTACGTAAAGAGAATATATTAAGAGTACTAATGATATAAATACAAAATAAAAATCAATATAAAATAATTAAACAATATAAAATATGAACACTTTAATAATTATTATGGATAAAAATAATCATAGGCTAAGCAATTAAATGAGGTTAGAGACACCCCACTAAATAAATATGCATAAAAAATAACATAAATATGAAATGATTGATATCTTTGTCCGAGTTGTGAAATCTTGAATGGCTTGCGCCAAAGTTGCTCTATTTTAGGTTATTATTTACGCTTGCCGACCATCTCAAGTTTGTGGCCATTTCAAAATCTTAATCCACTATAAACATTTCTTTTAAATCAAACACTTTTATTTGTCCTCTATTTTTTAATCATTTCACTCACTTATTTCTTCCTTTTATATTTTTTTTTTATCTTCATTTTTTACTTATTTTTTATTATTATAGTACCTTCACAATGATATATAGATAATTCTATCACTAAGTTCTCGTCCAACAAAGTCTTTATCCTCACAGTCTTCGTTCATAGCTTCATCCTAGTTTTAGGTTACACTTACTCGAAAAGTCTAAAATATAGTATATTTATATACCTTTGATAATGAGATGAGTAGTCATTGGTCATACTTGATCGAGAGGAAAAAATGATTATACCTAAAAAAATATATTTCAAACCTCAAGTTAGTTCTTAATCTTAAATAAATCAATTTAATTAATATTGTAATAAATGTCAAAGTATCTTTTTCTCTTAAAAATGTCATTATTTATATTAACCTTAGTGAACTTGGACCTTTATAATAGATCTATTAACTACTCAAATTACCTTTACCAATGTTTCTCAATTATTCATAGCCCTTGATCACAAATAGAAGAGTGTTCGATTTTACTCCTCAACCAAATCCTTTCAATATAGCTACTAAATTGAGTGTTAAGGTTAATTAATATCTAATCATACGCTATATATTCGTGTGCATGTGAACATTTAAAATCCTAATAATAATTCTCATTAAAATAAGTAACTTAAATTAAAACAATTATAAAAGGAAGTAACAATATATGATCACATTATTACTAATAATAACTTTTACTAAAATAAATAACTTAAATTAAAATATTACAAAAAATAGTAACGGTACATAATAACATTATTTATAACTTTTTAATTGAAATCACTTACTCCTTATAAATTATAAGAACTTGTTCCTAATATTTATGGAGCGACAACGGGTCCAAGGATGGTGATCGATGGAGAGCGCGGACGTAACATTGTGAACCTTGCCAATAATTTCGGGATGCACGCTGAAAATTGAAGGACCAATAACAAAAAAGTCAAAATAGCATAAGATAGTTGGAAAACCCGGAAAGGTAGTTCTCCAGATATTTTAGAAATCCAACTGAGGAATGGAAGGTGCCTGATAGTCATACTTTTTTTCTAAAACTTTTTTTCTTACACATATATATAACTATAATAATCACACACCTACTTTTTATAATACTGCCCAAAAAAAACAACAACTATGTATCTCACTAAAAAACAAAGAGAGAGAGAGAGTAGTTGTTTTAAAATAAATGAGCAGTTTTTTTTTTTTTTTTTTTACTTCTTTTTGCAGTAAAAAGAGCAATTTTACTTTTATGTATACATGTCTTTTAATTTTCGATTTTATCCTTAACATATATATTAATATATTAAAAATTATATATAAAATAGGAGTATAATTGACTTTATAAAAATGGATACCTCTTTGACAGATTGTTATAGATAAATAATAGAAAAATAAAGATGAAGGTTTATTATCCCCACGTTTGATTATGTGTCGTAAAGATTGGATGTGAAGTAGTTTCTGCATTTTCCTAGACCTGATGTGAAATTTTATCTAAATAAGCATAATAATGGAGAACCAAACACTCACTATCTATAACTCTTTTTACTTTTTTTTATTAGTATTTACTCTGGTGCATCATTATATTATCCACACCTACACTACTGATTTCAACTACAACTAGGAAGAACTCTCACTTTCTCTTGTTCTTTTCCCTAC